TTGTTGTACACCATAGTAAAAGATCATTAAGACTTTCTTTTTTTTTTTTTTTTTTTGAGATGATGTCTTACTGTCGCCCAGGCTGGAGTGCAGTGGTGTGATCTCTGCTCACTGCAGCTCTTGCCTCCCGGGTTCAAGCAATTCTCCTGCCTCAGCCTCCCAAGTAGCTGGGATTACAGGTGCCCGCCACCATTCCCGGCTCATTTTTGTATTTTTAGTAGAGATGGGGTTTCACCATGTTGGCCAGGCTGGTCTTGAACTCCCAACCTCAAATGATCCGCCCGCCTTAGCCTCTCAAAGTGCTGAGATTACAGGTGTGAGCCACTATACCATGCCCATTAAGACATGTTTGATAATACATATTAAAGATGGACTCACACTGACAATTATAAATTTCCTCTAATTTGAAATTATAAAGACACATTTTCTCTTTTTCTTGTATTCTTACTTTGGTGGGGGCATATTTCAGCATAATTTTTTTGAAACTTTTAAGTTATACACTTGACTTTTTAAAAGCAGTTAAAGGAACTATGTATATATATGGTTTTTTGGTTGGTTTTGTTTTTTTGTTTGTTTGTTTTGAGACAGGGTCTCATTCTGTCGCCCAGGCCAGAGTGCAGTGGTACAATCTCAGATCAATGCAACCTCCACTTCCCGGGCTCAAGCGATTCTTCTGCCTCAGCCTCCCAAGTAGCTGGCACTACAGGTGTACACCATTATGCCTGGCTAATTTTTGTATATTTAGTAGAGACAGGGTTTTGCCATGTTGTCCAGGCTGGTCTCGAACTCCTGAGCTCAAATGTATTCGCCTACCTTGGTCTCCCAAAGTGCTGAGATTACAGGCATGAGCCACCGCACCTGGCTTTGAAGAAACAGTTTTTGAATATTCCAAATAATAAAAAAAGTATATCAAACTTCAAGTAAAATATTCAAATATTTTGGATATCATAAAGTATCCTAGACCACATAGATGCTATTTCTTTTCTGTCTTATACTGCTGAAGAATAAGAATGTAAGGTTGTATCTTAGTGACACATTTCTTCTTAATAGTATAATCAATTGAAAACATGGCTTGGCCAGGTGTGGTGGCTCACACCTGTAATCTCAGCACTTTGAGAGCCTGAGGTGGGCGGATCACCTGAGGTCAGGCGTTCGAGACCAGCCTGCCCACCATGGTGACACCCCTCTCTACTAGAAATACAAAAAAATTAGCCAGGTGTGGTGGTGGGTGCCTATAATCCCAGCTACTTGGGAGGCTGAGGCAGGAGAATTGCTTGAACACAAGAGGCAGAGGTTGCAGTGAGCCGATATCGCATCACTGCACTCCATCCTGGGCGACAAGCAAAACTGTGTCTCAAAAAAAAAAAAACATGGCTCAACACAGAAAATCAATTTTAATAAAGCTGTTATAGTGTAACTTAACAATTAGGAGGCAATAGAAAGACATTGAAAGTGATTTGAGGAAAGTTTATTCATTATCTCTGCAGCTTCACCTACACTATATAGTCTCATTTACAGTAGTGGAGGTGGGATAGTTATTATTTCTTTATTCCAGTGAGATAAGAAATTATATCATGGTTATTTCAAGCTATGTGGTTTGCCAGTCTATGCTGTTAATAGCTAATATATATCAAGAACTTACTACATGCAAAACATTTTACATGTTTTTAGCTAATGTTATCCTCTTAACAACAGTGAACATTTTGGCAGAATAGCCCCATTTCACAGCATAAGAAACTTCTAGTTAAGTAGGCCAAGATAGGTTAGATAACTTGCCTGGAGTTATACAGTAGAAAGTGAGAGCTAAGATTCAAAACTAGACCATTTATTGTTATTCTCTGTGTTATACCATCTTTCAGTCGTCTTCAAAAATAAATGTATGTAGGTAGGTTTCCATTTGTGTAAGGGCATGGAAAAATGCATGATTATTCTTATTCCTCTGCCCATTGTGAAAAGGGAGGTACTGCGCTCCTGAAAATGAGGGTATTGGTGGCAAATTCTGTTATTACATAAATTAAGCTAGGATTCCACTTGTTCACAGTTAAGAATTTGAACAACTGTTAAGATAGTCATGACTATGTATCTGTATGTTGTTTTGAAAATTCCTATTAAATGTAAGTTATAATTAAATTTATACATCTTATTTGCCATTTTGGTGTCATCTTGAGCTTTTTTAAGCATGATGAAGATTGCTTATCTCCTTTATTATAATTCTTTAACTTAAAAATTACCTGAATGATACCTGAGTCAATGTGATAAAGTATGGTGCGTCTTATCTGACAGGTCCCTGATGCATACCCATTTATGATAGCCTGAGTTACATACATCCTGGGATAAATAAATAATTTAAGACCCTAGTTTGGCCGGGCGTGGTGGCTCATGCCTGTAATCCCAGCCCTTTGGGAGGCTGAAGCAGGCGGATCATGAGGTCAGGAGATCGAGACCGTCCTGGCTAACACGGTGAAACCCCGTCTCTACTAAAAATACAAAAAAAATTAGCCGGGCATGGTGGCGGGTGCCTGTAGTCCCAGCTACTCAGAAGTCTGAGGCAAGAGAATGGCGTGAATCCGGGAGGCAAAGCTTGCAGTGAGCCAAGATCGCGCCTCTGCACTCCAGCCTGGGTGACAGAGCGAGACTCCGTCTCAAAAAACAACAACAACAACAACAACAACAAAAGACCCTAGTTTATAATACCGGGCAAATATTTTAAGGTAGAATTAGCCTAAGAAGAGATA